GCTATGTTGTTGCAGTTATATTTACCTTCCTCTTAAAATGTTTAATTTGTTATTTATAGTACATGAGTAAGAAATTGTAGCATTGTTGTAATTAATTATAGCTTCTGATGTTTCAGAATTTGGTTGTTGTCTCAGTAGCAATTAATTCATTTGCACATTGATCTTTTTAAGAAGATATGTCATAATTAACCTGTTTCTTCAATTTTTCAAAATAAGTATTGGTGATTTTCTATGTTGCTATAAACTTATTTTCCCTACAATTGTTATCGATCTAGTTTTAAATATTATAGGATGAACGGAAGTGTTCTTACTTGGAGTGGGTTGATCAAGAGTGGCCACAGTCTTTGAAGATGTGCCTAGCAAAGCTCTGGAGCATGTATGAGGAAGAGAACAGAGGTAGGCTTAGAGAAAGTGTTGTCAACGCTGAAGAATATTTGAAGATGTGGGATAAAAAGAGGAAGGTGGAGAATGAGCTTAGATTTTTTAAATCAAACTTTGCTAAATGGTGTTGGCGAAAGAGGAGGCACTTTCCCAGTTGGCCAGTGCAAAATAGGTTCTTACTGAACTGAAAGCAGAGGTGGATAAGACGAGGCTGGATGATCTCGATTAGGGAAATGAATATATTGTTCTAATATTGTTCTTATGAAGTTGAACTAGCTATATGCTGTATTGTGCTGTTTTCAGGTAGCTGTCGTACTGCGACGTTAAAATATATCTATGCGCCTGATATGAAATTGGCAAACCATTTTTTGATATGAAATGTGAATTTGCGTAATACTGGAATTATTAATTGTAAACTAATAAACTTGCTAAATGGGTCATGGAACTTTGCAAATGGTTCTAGCAGTAAAAGCGCTTGTGATGGATAGCTCAATGCCACACAGTTTTTTCATCAAATCGTGTATGATGTAGTTGATAAAAGCAAACGGTTAACCAAGGTAGAGCCTGTGTGATAGTTACACCTATCAAACACGAGCCTATACATGAACCTGTGTGGGATGTACATACGAACAGAAACGTTTTCCCTGGATTAACTGTGTGTGATGTACATACAAACGGAAACGTTTTCCCTAGATTGACTGTGTGGGATGTACATATGGATGGAAGCGTTTTCCCTGGATTGACTGTGTGGGATGTACATAAGAATGGAAACGTATTCCTTGGATTGACTGTGTGTGATATACATACGAACAGAAATGTTATTCTGGGATTCACCGTGTGGGATGTATATACGAACGGAAACGATTGGGTTTTGATGCCTCGCCCGATCGCACACGAGCTCATTTTGCCCCATCCTGTGTGCCAGGAGGGCCTATCCTCGATGGTTTCTGGGTCGTGTGGGAAGGTCCCCCCTATCACCCACACTCACTTGGCGACGGTTCCCAATGTCGTCGCGGACAGGGGTTAAAAATCGTGTGTATAGCACCTCGATGTACCAGTATAATATCATGGGGATCGCTTCTCCTTCTTCCCCATGTGCTAGACCTTTTTGTAATGCACTCGGGAAAGAAGGGATGAGCGACCATCACGGACGGGCGAAATATCAGAGAGGGAACGTCCACCATATACACCATCAGAGACGAGAGATTTTCAAGGAAGACTTAACAGACCAAAAGTTAACATGTGCTGAATAGTGATCTTTGTGTTGAGTTTCTTGTATTTGTCGTCTATTTTTAATCTTTCAGTTATGAACACAACAAATGGATGATGATGATAGGATCCCCGAGTGCAATGATTATACCGACAACGAGGGTATGTGCGACATGTCTCACTTGGAAAACGATAGATGCTTCTCCCTCACGCTTAAGGAGGTCTTTGAGTATTTTATGATATGTAACTTTAGCGACAAGTATTTCTTCTTAATTAAGCATGACTTAAGATTTTTTGCTTTAACATGTAATTTATGTTTTTTTATAGTTTGACTAGTCCATCCCCTGCTATGCAAGACCTTATATCCTAGAGAAGCTATCTTTCGAAGAGATGTACAAGGTGGATAAGAAGAGAGTCCCTCCATAGGCCAGGCACGCGGACTATCGGGCCAGTACGCCAGGACCAACCCATTTGGCAACTTTTGTGTTTGATGACCGAAGCTTGATCGACTGCTCACACATACATCGGAGCAAAGCTGGCCAAACGGGTCGGTCCGACCCGCCATAAACGTGCCTGGCACGAGACGAGCCAACCCGCCATAAACGTGCCTGGCATGACATGGCCCGCCAGGGCATGATCAATAGTTAGGCTGGGCCGGCCCAGCCCACGTGCTGTAGGCAGCAGCCCAAGCACTGCACGTGAGGTAAATGGGTCGGCCCGCGACACGCTTAGGCACGCCAACACGTTTTCGGCTTCACTCCCAAAAAATGTTGAAAATTTAAAAAATTCTATGGAGTATTATTTGGGATGAATCTAGATTTTTATTACCGCTTACATCATTAAATCGTTGCATCTCAAAGAAGTAAAAAAATACCAAATCGTGCTCTAGAATTATAAAAAGATAAAAAAAATACAAAGACTACACTACGACAGTACAACTACTTAGATCCAAGCATTATAAAAATATGCAAGCAATACCAAAATGTTGAACACATTAGGTATTTATATAGGACATACTAGCACATATGCCCGTGCATTGCAACGGGAGAAAACTAACATCATACAAACCTAGCACAATAAGCATGGCAAGAAAGCCCATCCTAGTAGGTGCATGTCCTACATTTGAACAGTGTCCCACATGTATCATTGCTTAATCTCCTTCCCGTCCCTCCCATAGTGATCGCGGTGTATGCCTAATTAGGACACGTTTGAACGTGGTTCAATCTTAAATCTTAAGACAATGAGATTGGCTATCACACGACTCACTATCATTCAATTGTGCTAGCACAAAGAGGTATTTACAACATCAAAAATTAGTCTCATCGAGCTAGACATGAGTGCCGCCCTCCACGAGGTACTTGCTCCTAACAATGAAAAGGAGAAATAAATAGAGGCATCTTTCAGCCTATTACTCGTTGCCTAGCCCTCATAATCTTTTTGACTACAAATAAATCCAGTTTCAGCTATTGCACAAAATAACTTACATGTATCATCGCTTAATCTCCTTCCCGTCCCTCCCATAGTGATCGCGGTGTATGCCTAATTAGGACACGTTTGAACGTGGTTCAATCTTAAATCTTAAGACAATGAGATTGGCCATCACACGACTCACTATCATTCAATTGCGCTAGCACAAAGAGGTAATTACAACATCAAAAATTAGTCTCATCGAGCTAGACATGAGTGTCGCCCTCCACGAGGTACTTGCTCCTAACAATGAAAAGAGGAGAAATAAAAAATAGAGGCATCTTTCATCCTATTACTCGTTGCCTAGCCCTCATAATCTTCCTGACTACAAATAAATCCAGTTTCAGCTATTGCACAAAATAACTTCACGTGATCTTTATGACGACAAAATAAACCCAGTCTCTTTATTACTCCCTCCGTTCCTAAATATAAGTATTTTTAGAGGTTTCAAATGGACTACAACACACAGATGTATATAGACATATTTTAAAGTGTAGGTTCACTCATTTTGCTCCGTATGTAGTACCTTGTTGAAATCTCTAAAAAGACTTATATTTGGGAACGGGGGGATTATACAAAAAGGTGCCATAATATTGTGGCTCGCGTGTGTGCTAGATTTTCAATGCAAATGCTGTCCCACTTTCTAAAAATTAATAATCAATGGCTTGTGGTCTAGGAAATTAGCGTGCGTACTTGGCGGAATATTGTGGGTATTTGCCTTTGATATTGTGTACGCTAGATTTTCAATGCAAATGTTCTTCACTTTCTGAAAAAGAAATCAAAGGCTTATGGTCTAGGAAATTAATTGTTATCGATTTTGTGGAATATTCTGGGTATTTTCCGAAATAATGACACGCAAATCTCACGTGGATTTTCAATATAATTTTCTTCGTTGGGAATCATATTGGAAAGTTTCCATGCGTCCGGTTCAATTTCCTTCCTTCTTATTTGTCAGCATGTGTATTTCCGCTCCTTTTCAATATAATATCCTTCCTTTTCTCGACGGATCAATTTTCATCCACCTTATTAAATTCAAGGTGCCTCGCTTATTCTCAGGAAAGCCATTAACATATATAAATTGGTGAGATTTTATGAAAAATATCGAGGTGGGATTTTTTTAGTTATCAACGAACACTCTATTCTAACACAATTGACCGTAAGAGGCCGGGACGTTGGTCAACTTTTTTTTTCTGGGCCAATAGGGGCCCAATAATGTTTCCAGTTCAATAGAAAGCGTCTATTATGTAAGGAGCACAGGTTAAATCAGGAACGTGTGGCTGGCCCAGTTGGTAGCCACAGCGCTTTGATTATAGCGAGGTCATGAGATCAAATCCAAGTGCATTGGTAATTAATTTTTTCTCAACTTTGAACTGGAGTTTTTTTTGGTGGGCTGAGGCCCATGTGAGCGATGTGAATCTGACTTTTGTGTGGGTTGAGGCCCGAGTGAGTGATGAACAATCTGATGGGGCTCACGACAAATAATAATACCACCTCGGATAGTAAAGATCTCAATAATATGGGTGAACGGATGAAAAATTTGGAGAAACCCACCTTGCTTTATTAGTAAAAAAAGTTAGGTATAGATATAGATATATTTATATATTTCAGAAAAAAACAGGCTGTGCCGGCCCGTGTGCCTAGCCTCCAGGCCCAGGCATGGCCAAGGCGTGCCGCGCGCCGGGCACGGCCTGTTTAGCCCGTGCCGTGTCTGGCCCATGGCGGACCGTGCCGGCGTGCTCGCGGCCCGTCCTGGTTGGCGCGGCCCGTTTGACCAGCTTTGCATCCGAGAGACCCGCGTTGAGAATTTGCCCAAGGAAATGAACTGAACTCTTCTTTTTTCCCCTCTTGGCCTCTCCCTTCCTCGTGACTCCTCCGTGCTCCCCTGGCGGCGGCGCACAACACCTGTTCGGCGGAACGCCGCTCCAGGGCGAGAAGCTTCGACCATGGCGAGCGGGGCGGACCGCATCAGCGCCCTCCCGGAGGACATCCTCCACCACGTGCTCCGCCTCCTGCCGGCTCATGAGGTGGTGCGGACGTGCTTGCTCGCCCGCCACTGGCGCGGAGTCTGGAGGTCCGTGCCCACCCTCCGCTTCACCGGGGCCAAGGGGTGGGGCAGCGCCGACATGTTCGCCCAATTTGTGGACCACTTGCTCCACCTCAGGTACGAGGGCGACGGTCCGCCTCTGGATTCCTGCGATTTCGACTTTGATTCCGACGGATTCATGCTGTTGCCCGCTAAGGAGTGGCATGCGAGCACCTGGCTCTGGAAAGCCCTGCCTCGTGTTCGGGCTCTCCGGCTCCGGCTTCGTATTGTCGACGAGCAGGAAGCCTTGCCACTATCTTATATGCATCTCTTCTCCCAGCACCTCACGAGATTAGAGCTTGTTGGTGTCTCTTTCAACAACAGCGTCGCTGATTTTTCAGGCTGTCCGGCATTGGTGGAACTGAGTATGGATACTTGTGACGTCTTTATGAAACAACTGCTGTCTCCATCCTTGAAACATCTGCGAATTGCCCGCTGCTATATTTCTGATCGTTACCGCATTCTTATTTCTCTACGAAATCTTGTTTTGCTTGAGTTGATCGAATGCCACCGAGGAAGGGTTCCATTGCTTGGAAGCTTGCCGCGGTTAGCAAGAGCTGTTGTGGTGCTTAACGAGCATTGTGCTGATCAATGCTCTCAGGATCGGCTTGATAGTTGTGGTGCTGGGAGAAGAGATATTTGTTATGGTTGTTATTATTATTATGGAGATCCTGGACATGGGCCTCATTATGACCGCAACGACTGCATCTTTCTCAAAGGTTTATCAGAAGCCACAGACTTGGAGTTGTCAGCTGATTCTGTTGTGGTATGCTTGCAAGTGCTTCTCTCTTATTATTATGTTATATATGTGTCATCGTTTCTCATGCAGTCATCATATCCATCATCACAAATCGTAATTGCTTTATAAATGACTTACTTCACACATCAGCTGATTGTACTTTATACTTCAAAGGCCAAAAGGTTCCTAATTTGATCCGTCCCTTTTGCACTTTCCCTAGACTGTTCTCAACAGGGATTTGAAGTGGTGCCCTACATTTACCAAGTTAAAGACTTTGCTACTAAATGATTGGTGTTTGGCTGCTGACCACAATGCACTAATTTGCTTTCTCCAACACTCACCAATTTTGGAGAAGCTTACCCTTCAACTTTCTGAGGTATAGATTTTAAGCTGGATAGCTCATGTGTATCATTTAAAATGACCATCCATTATTACCTGATTGATTATTATTTTATTTGTGTGTGTGTGTGTTAGGGACCTTCATATGTAACTGAAGCAGAAGGAATATACAAACCATTGGGACAGTCAGTTGCATCCAACTGTCTTAAGATTGTTGAAATCAAATGTGCAAATGTTGATAAAAAGGTTCACCAAATTTTGAAGATACTGACTACTTATGGCATACACCTTGAGAAAATTAGTGTCCAACAAACTAGCGGAATTCCTGGATCTGGGTGTGAGTTAAACTGTTGGCACTCTTCAAGCTACTTATATTTCCATTTGTTATTGTGTTTATGCGCTATACAACAGTCAGTGAAGAAAATCTCAAACTAATTAGCACACTATAGTTAGAAATTTGGGTGTGTGTGGAGAAACGTTGAGCAGATACTGATGTTGAGACTCCCATATTTGATGAAGAGGTAGTGAAAGATACTCCCTCCGTAAAGAAATATAAGAGCGTTTAGATCACTACTTTAGTGATCTGATCACTACTTTAGTGATCTAAACATTCTTATATTTCTTTACAGAGGGAGTAACAATCTATTGCATGTTTGTAAGGAAAATGGACAGGAGCTCCTGGGTGCTACATCCCCCTATATGAATATCAAATTCAACAAATACCAGAAAAATTCAAAAAGGTCCATGTTTGTAACTACTAACTGGCTTTATTATCCAAAAACCTATACCATCAATTTGGATTTTGGATTGAACTACTCTGTATGCGCAAGTTAGTTAGTAACAATTACACATCAAGCAATTCCAAGTCTATTATGTATTGGCATTATATAGAAGTTGCAGATTAACGAGTGGTCCCAGTACTCTTGGTAGACAACAGGTGAATGGTATCATTTATCCAGCTGTTTCGATTGAGCCTGCTGCCATCTAGATGCTTTACAAACTAGCATGTGACTATCTTGCTCTTCTTATTTTACAATTCCCCTTGTGAATGCTGCGTATTATTTTGTCCCTTCTTTTTAGCTGACAGCTCACAACAAATAACATATCAATTATTTTGGCAATTTTTAACTCCATACTATTGCCCTCTATAATCGTTTATGAATCCTGTTATGTACGATGTTACATGTTAAATAACCAGAAAGAAGCAAAAATATTACCATCTTATTTTAGTGAAGTTAGTCCCACTTTTACAATATTTTGATAGAAAGAAGTATGTTACAAATGAAGCTCTTATTAGAAGATAATATACATGTTTCCATATTATTTACAAAGCATTGAAAATTACCATTTGTCTAGTAGGTTCTGTCTGAATTGATTCTTTGTCTTTCTTATCTTGCAGGTTTCAATTTTGTTTGCACTGGTTTCAGCTAAAACTAGAGGTACGAACATATGGACTGTTCTTAGATTCAGGTCTCTTTAATTTTTTAGAAATGCATGGAGCAAGTTTTGGGTAGTGTTGTGTAGTTATGTCACTCTTGATTAAGTTGGATTAACCATTCCAATCTTCTACTCCCTCCGATCCATATTAATTGTTGCTCACTTAGTACAACTTTAGTACAAAGTTGTACTAAGTCAGCAATAATTAATATGGATCGGAGGGAGTACAATGCAACTCTGTTAGAATACTTGCAATATCTAGCGTAGATGTTCACTCATTCTGCTCCGTACATTGACGCAATATGTGCATATATAAATGAAGGAAAGGCAAAAAAAAAAAATGCTTGCTGTTTAAAGTTTGGATGTACACCAGTTGAAGAACAGTTTGTCGTTATTCCTAGACCCAATGATGAAAACGGGGGGAAATAATTGAAGTACATAACTACAAGACTCTCCTCAACCATAACCTAAGTGCCCTCATTTTTTTGTATTTATGCTGCAATGTGGCATCATTATTTTCGTTCAGTAGTTTATACCAATAGTCGATGAGTTACACATCGTGAATAATACCAATGGAAGAAAGGTCAGGTGGTCTTATGCACTGAAAATATGCCGCGCTCCTGTGGCCAACCTTTTAAGATTTTCTTGGAACGAACTCAACAAACCACGAAACAGCTGATCAACAGATTTCGTTGTCCAGAAGGTATAATTCCCATTCCAGAAGCACGACCACAAATTTGACCAAATAAATGTAGCTAGGAAAGTCGACACATCAACAACAGGTGATCGACAGATTCAGTGGCATGCACCACAAAATTCACAAGCATTGCTACCTTCCATCCATTTTGAGCTTATTATCCTTAGTTAACTCTGCATTCCTCAAAACAGTCCAAAGAACATATTAATTTTCAATGACAGTCAAAATTCATACATGGTTTTGAATGGGTTAAAACAGACTGAATTCTGAGAGCTGGATAAGAGGAATGTACTGAAAACTCATCCTTTAGATCCTAACGATAATTTCAAACTCATGCGCTTCTCATACAAATGCACTTCAGCACATTCCTTTTATAACTGTTGGGTTGTTAATTAGAGATATCTGTCTTCTGATGATCTCAAATTCTCAATATATATGCTTGTCTAGGTACAAATGACGTCATACCGGCTGACGGCAAGAAGCTACCCACGTTCTCAAGGCGGCCAACTCCACCGGAGGAGAGGAGCTGCTCATGGTCGTTCACAAGGCCCTTGTTGCTGCTCACCATCGTCCCAAAGCCCTGTCCCTTTTGTACTCCATACCACTCCTCTGCTAAACAATTTCCCGTGGCTCGTGAACTTTGTGGAGAGTTATTCTAATTTTCTGAGTATGTGATAAAATGGATGCATATCAATCTTAACATTAGGTTCAGTCTACGACTGTCCATTCAAGCAGAAATAATAACACGTCTCTGAAAAGGCAAAAGCTCACCACTAAAAATTCAGAATTCATGCACATAATAAACTTTTCCTTTGTAATTTTCAGATTTTTTTTTGGGTGTGTGTATGCCCATCTGTACTCTATTTTTTCTTTGTGTGTGTTTTCTTATTTTTCCAAGACAAACTGGACCTTCATTCATCATCCGAAGTAGAAAGGTGAACATGCCGTAGCCGGTGAAAACTTGCAATCCTATTGTAATCTCTTTCTTATGTACTCCCTCCGTAAAGAAATATAATAGCGTTTAGATCACTAAACGCTATTATATTTGTTTACAGAAGGAGTATAACCAATCTTAAAGTATTGCTCGTGAGTAAACCTCTCTCGGTCTGCTGTCCCTGAAAAAATGGGTCCATTCCAGCTGCTGTGTAGTCCTTCGAAGAATCTAGGTGATTGATAGAGAAATGCATGGTGTAAATTTAGTTTTGGAGACAGCGCTCCCCCGCTCTCCCGCTAGGGCTCCCACCCCCGCCGCCGCCG